AGCCTTTCATGGTGCTGAGGAGTTGTGAAGTACAGACCCAACCATCCAGCCTTTATTTTTGAAGCTAATGGCAGGTATATTTTTGAGGATGTATCTGTATAATGAGAGTTGGACTGCACTGAGGTGCTCGGTGTCACTCAGAGTCAGAAGAGGGGAAAGCCTTTCATTCCAATTCTAGTTATTTATGAAGAATAAAAGCAGATAGGAAGAAAAGAAGAAATTTGTGGATCATTCAGTATTTTCAGTATTTCCCATTGTAGTGGTTTGGGTTTGTTAATCTGAGATTTTGTTAATTTTGAGATTTTTTTAGCTAATTTTATCAAGAAGTGTGGTGGGTTTAGTGTTGATTAATTATTAGTGTACTTACTTTTTGAGAGGTGGGATTAGGAGAAAGGTCAAGTAGGTTTAAAATTTTAAAAGGATACACAGAAAAAATTATTAATAACAATTAAAGAGTAATATGGATTAGAATAAAAATTAAAATATTTTCATTTTTTATAACTTTTTTCTTTTTATTGACAATGTAAAGAAATAAAATTTAAAAAAAAAAAAAACTTTTTTAACTAGAGCTCTGTAAACTTTGTGGGCTCGGTCCCTAAGTAAACTAAAGGAAGACTATTCTAGAAAAGTAGTAAACTAACTAAAGTTTTAAATTAAGGCCTGAGATACATGAACCAGTACATCCTAAGGAAAAACAGTGACCATCTAGGTATTTTTTTGAGTCTTCAAGCAGGCTGGTGAAGGCATGTTGGCTTCTAGTGAACACAGACATACCTTCAAGCAGCTCCTGCATGTTCTGCCTCTCCTTTCTCTTCCAGCTTGGTGTAAAAGGAGTTGAGGGTATCTGAAACTGGTTGCTTTATCCACAGTGATAAAATTAATATGTAAATCTGGAGGCAAACATTCTTTATTAGCTCTGCTTATTATTCTTTATATAGAATATGATGAAATTACAGACAAACTGACCTTGAATAGGGTTGGATTTTTTCCCCTTCTTTGTGCTCATTCCAAGTATATCTTGGAATGTGTTTAACCAAGTTAATAAAACTGGTTGAGCTCAGGCAGTTGCTCTTCAAATTATCCAAAGGCAGAGCACCTTCTCCAGACTGCAGCTTATTATGTACAGAGCCTCCTCAGAGGCCATGTAACTCACAGCCCCCACATCCAAGAGTATAATTCAGGATATCTTTGCTTTAGAACAGATGTTGGCATAGAAAATTGCATGGCTGTGAGACGTGGGAGGCCCAGAAATGTCTTAAATCTCAGTGTCCCTTGCATAGGGACAAGAACCTGGCACATCTTAGGAATGTTCTTCAGGTGAGCATGGTGGTTATTAGGTAAAGGCATTTAAAAAGCAGCTTAGAGTTGGTTTTGGTCTGAGAGAGTTCTTGGAGTGCTCCTGATCTTTTCTCCTTTTCCTTCCAAGGGACAAGACAGAATAAACCAGACCTGAGCTGATGCATGTGCTCTTCTGTTGTCAGAAGTTTTTTTATTATGTCAAAATAAAAACTCTTTCTTGTGTTAGAAATTAAAAGCAAGCTATATTGGCAAAAAAAAAAAAAAAGGCTGTTTTAGGTGGATACTTTGATGGATTTTCATCTCTGGCAGCCAAAATCTTTTATCAGCTTCAGATGAAACCATTTTTTTCCTTGATCTCTTAATCTGCTTCAATTTTAGCAGCAGTTAGGACACACCACAGTGCCAAATTATGTGGCAGTGATGATGTGTGTGCCTCTGTTTTGGACTGAGTTTTTTGAGTGTCAGCAGCTGGGATTTGTGGTGTCTCCCTGCCACCCAGGGCCATGGAAGAAGGTTTTGTTCTCTCACTGGAAGGCAGGAACCTTTTCTCAGTGTTGCATGACATTATTTAAGCAGCTTGGGGAACTTCTCACCTTTATTGTCTTTACCTCTGTGCTTTATTCAGCATGAAATACATTTTATGTGTAAAATAGACAAATTTTGGTAGTTAATGTCCCTGTCTCAAATTTGACTTTCCCAATTACTACATACCAACAATGAACCAGCAGCACAAATTATAGATATTTGTGGTGATTCTAGGGGGGGGAAATATTAAATAGCTATAAGAAATATTGCTGCTGTTTTCCTCTTTCCCTGGAGGAAGGAGAATTGTACAATTTGCCATTTCCTGCCTTTTGGCTTTGCAGTGATGTGGAAGCTGCCCAGTGGTGGTGTCTGAACCAGGGGCAGGCTCAGGGAGTTGGGTAAAATGTTCAAGCAAGATTTCATGATCTCTGCAGGTTCTTGTGTTCAGAAAAAAACAGAGATTACCCACCACTACCAAAAATTACCTGGCAACAAGTTCATCAGGAAATGTTGCTTGAGCCTCCAAATTACTTCCTCAAAGACCTTACTTTTATAAATGAAACTCGGTTTGGGTTTTTTGTAAATTACTGCTAAATGAGGAGTATTTTGAGATGATCAAGTATCAGCAGCTCTTCACTGAAAAAGAAAGACCTTTTTATGATAGGAAGTTTAAATCTATGAAAAATCTATTTATTAAATTATTATTAAATATATTGAAGTCTATGAATAATTGTATGAGGAAATTAAATCTGCACAATAGTTGAATTGTTCAGTATGTGTTGTCAAAGTAACATCTCAATTGGAAAATAAGATTTATAACTCAGCTATCCTCAATAGAGTTAATCAAATTAACAATTCAAAGTAACTTTTTGTTTTTTTAATACTTCATATAATGTTCCTAGAAGTAAATATAAGTGGTTTGGATCTGCATCTCTGTGAAATGCATTGGGGTCCTTGTCAGCTCTAGTTTGTACTTATACTTCCTCAGAACCTTTCAGTACAGTGTTCTGGTTTCATTTTGTCCCATCTGTCAGAATTCTTTGATTTGAAAGCTTGCCTGCTTTCTTGCTGGGTAGATGTAATGGAACTCTTACTAAAATTTGGGATTTTTTTAATTGAAACAGCTATTATAAATCTGTAAACTTAATGAAAACTGTAAATAGTAAATCAAAATTTTCATCTTTGTGTAGCTTTCCTACCCAGAAAGCCTAATTTTTACTACCACAGTAATGAGTTTATTGTATGCAAGTATATTTTTTAAACAAGCTGTGATAAATCTGAAAATGTAACTCTGTACATAATGGCTCTCATGAATAGTCATAACCAGGCTTTTGCAGTTCATTTGTAAAAGCAAAAGAAATAAAATAACTTGTTCAAAGGTGTGTTTCGTGTCTTTTGCTGAGCTGCTGAAACACATAGATACAGCTGTTCTGTTTCTGAAACTTTATTAAGTTATACACTTTATAAAAGCTTTCATAACTTCCATTGCCTGGTGCCTCACCAAGTGTGTGACCAGCCCTAGGAAGAGACAGAAGCAATTATCTGAAATCTATTTTTTTTTCCATAATTATAGATTCTATGTTAATTTATACGAAAGAAAAGTGGCATGTATTATTAGGTTATGTATAGAAATATGCACATTAATAGTTTTTAATTCTGATAATTATTAGCTATTAATATTATTTTTATTACTATTAATATTAGTTATAATAATGTTCATAATAATTATAATAAGATTATATTATATATAAAAATAATAACTACATTATTTTATTATTTATTATTAACATATATTAATCTTTAAATATTAATAAATATAAATGAATGAATACTAAATAATAATAAAATTGATGTAAATGAAATACATATATATAAGTATATTAATAAATAAATGCATATTAGTGCATATTAACAATAAAATTAATGCATATTAAATTTATTGTTAAATTATCATTACAGATGATTGTAATTAATAATTTATTATTAGATCTTAATATTAATTTTATTAACGGTAAATAAGTGTAACACTAAACCCGAAGTGGATGTGTTAAAAGTTTCATTGTCTCCTTTCTGAGTTTGTACCATGTGTACCCACACCAAGCCATGAGTGTCCCCTGGGTATTTGTGGTCACCATAAGCCCTGCCTGTGTGCAGTGTTTGATCTGTGTCCCACCCTTCAATCCAGATTCTTCTTCTAAAGGTTTCAAATTTGCTTTTTGAGAGTCTCCACACACAATCCAGAGCTACTGGCTAGCTCTGTGTGGTTTTAACCCTTGAGGCATGTCACATGTTCTTCCTCAGGAGTCTTTGCTCAAGGAAAACAGAGTTTTCAGCTAAGCCTTGTTCTGTTTTAAGCAGCGGTGCTATGCCCTCCAGCTTACAGGGATGGGTGTGATAAAGCTGGGGCAGAAAACTTCATTGTACTTTATTTTTCCAGTAGGTGTAGAAGCCCATTGCATGAGTTCTGAATTCAGCATGTGGTGTTCACTTTTTCATCAGGGCAGCAAAGGCAGAAAGTACATTAGAAACTTTGGAAAAAATCCAGAATTGAACGTTCTCCCCTTCCTTTCCTGTGTTTGTGTCCATGAGATATCCAGCATGAGTAGATATCATGCCTCATGGTTAGCAGAAGAGAAAATTCAAACCATCCTGTTGCAGTGGCTTTCAGCTGGTGTCTGTAGGCTGTTGTGGTCTCTTGGATACTTCTGAAAGATTTACAGCAGCTAACAAAGTTCTTAGGTTAAAATAGGCTTAAATTTGCTATGGGAAAAGGCTGAAATGTACTTAAATATGCAGGGAACTTGCCCACTGTCAGAAATGGAGTGGTTTAGGAGATCAGCCTCTAAAGAAATATTACAAAAAAAGAATATGGGTGCTACTCAATGGGAATGGGAATACTCAAGATGAAGCAGAGCACCAAATGTGGTATTTCCATTCTGCATTCTTTCTTTTACTTCTATAATTCATTTTTCCATTAATAATTACGTGGGGATTTTTCCTGCTCAGTATTAGTAGGAGCCAGTCCTTCAGAGGAGTTCTATTAATCTTTTACAGATTTTGCAGCTGCCCATTATACCCAGATCACTGTGTTATCTAGCTGGAGGGGGGTGTGGATAAAAACCTGAACTGCTATTTCTCCTGTAGATAGCTGACATTTTTTTGCTCTCTACCTGTAGGAACTTCCAGCCCCTTTGCTTGATGATTCCTACAGGAAGGAATTGGGAGACGAAGCAGCAACTGTGAAGTCTGAGGATTTTCAGGATTCTATGAAAATAGCCTGGCGCTACCAAAATTTGCCCAAAATGGAGGTAATGGCTATTTCCTGCTTCTTTCCTCTTGCACTCAAAATGAATTTGAAAAGCAAATGCTTTTCAGTAGAACCTAGACAACAGAACTGCTAATGGGCAGTGTTACAAGATAGTTTTTTCTCAAGAGGCAATCATACACCAGTGAATATTTTAATTACTAATGATGCAAAAAGAAAGGGAATTTGAGAGTCTGCAGGTACTCTAAAACTCACTACGGACAATAGTAATTTAAAAGTAAAAAACCATTTAAGTTCCATGGGATTTTTCAATGAGCATTATCAAATTGAGACAGCTTTTTATGAAAGTTTGGATGATGTGCTTGCTTCCAAACTCGGCCCAGCTTTAGTTGCACACAAATTACTTAAGTAGGTTTAATCAACAGGACTTAGTGGGTGTCTGCAGTGGAAGCACTGTGTGGAAGCAAGCTGTTGACCTGCTTATCCATGTGCATAACAACTGAAGCAAGCACTTGAGATTCTCTCAGCCTCACTGGCACTGGGAGCTAAGCACTGGGCAGGGACAATGTAAGGAACAAGCTCAGTGATCAGTCTTTCAGAGTTTACAGTTGTTGGTGTTTTGTGGATAATCAATCTCCCATGGCTGGTGGCTTTCTTATTTAATCCAGCAGCACAATCAGTCTTTAACAAAATTACAGCATTTCTGGCTGTCCAGAATCAAATCCTGGTTTTGTCTGTACCTTTTAGTCTATATTTATAAATTCTGGTTTAGATGTAGTCATACCTGCCTAGTAAGTTCAGTTGTATTCTTAAAAACATAATTGGAATGTGACAAAATGATCTTACAAGGCTTGGCATGTTTGGTTTTCTGTGAAATTGCACAGACACGGCTATACAGTTGTGTCAGAAAAGACTTATATATGGTGACATGCCAAATCAAACAGCCTCCAGGGTAATCATATAATCTCATCAATTTTATTATTGTGAAGCTTGCTGTGCCACTCTGAACCATCCCCAAAATAATTTGTCTGTTTTAAAATCTATCAGAGTTCCTTGTACATTGATATGAAAACATTTGCATGTTGTGAACAAATTGTGGTCTGATATTCTAACAAAATAGAAAAATTATTTCAAAAATTCAGTTGGGTGTCCACTCATCTTTAACTTCATAGCAGTAACCACTTCTTCCACTAATGTAACATTTCTTGAAAATGCATGATGTATGTACCCTTGATTACTGAAAATTGATTATGTGAGATAGAATAAGATTGTCAGTCTTTCTGGGGGAGTTTCCCTTGTTATTGTTGCTTTTTGAATTGGACCTTGATCATTCTCAGTAGTTGAGGCACAATATTTTTATGTGTATGTTAAATTTATGCAAAAATTAATACACACAAATAAAAGTATCAATCTTAAACAATCTATACTTAAACTTCCTCAGGATGTTTTAATTGGTGGAAAATTGGTTCAAATTTATATTTTTCAATATTTTGTATTGCAGTTATCATAGAATTTTGGCTCTGTTCTATGTTAATTGGATTGGTGATTATACTCCATTGAGGAAAAATCTGATACTGCCTTGCTACCCATAACAATACATTTAGTTCAATAATTTAATGAACAAATTTGGTTGTGATTCCTCCTTTAAATGTTCCTTTGCTGGTAAAAACCCATGTTGAATAAAATTTCAAGGCATATTTTCCAAACTGATTGAACTAATATGCCAGTGCATTTTCAGAAACTACTGTCAAATAGTTTCAACTGTGAAAGAGAAAAAGTAGCTTTGCTTTTAGCTAGAACACTAAACATGATAGCAGAAACTTTTCTACCCATTATCTGGCTAAATACAGAGCAGGAATGCTGAGTAAAAGATGTCTTTGTGGTATTTTTGATGATTGATTTGTTTACTGTTTCTGAGTAATAATAGATTTTTGATTGGTAGTTCAGATGTTCCCTTTGCATTTATTTGACCAGCCAGGTATTGGTTTTTGTTTTAGGCATGGTGTTTGTATTAGTGCTCTTCACAGCTCTCTCAGTTTCTCTCTACATATTGCACATACCTTGCATCAGAAAAAAATAGATTTATAAGGAATCTGTTGGAGTGAAAGACCTTGTTATGCTTGATGTGCTTTTGCCAGTTTGTTACTTATATCTGTATCAGAGGTGAATTAATTTCAACTTTTGAATATATGGAGAGCTTTTTTTGCAATGCAAGACAGTGTGGTTTTCTCTCTCTCTCTTTTTTTTTTTTTGAATGAACTGCTTGTGTTCTTGGGGCAATATATAAACTGTCACAGCATGAAATCAATTTTCTGCCTTGGTTCATCCTAAATCTGAGATTTCTAGCACATTAGGATTGCAATTAGAAACATTAACAGCAGACGGTAGCGTAAAAGCACGCTCTGCTCACTGACAATTTAGAGTATTTCTCCTTGTGCAAACCAGGAATCCAGGAAAGAGTTGGCCTGAGCCTCCAGCCTGCTAAGGAATGTGGTGATGCCTTCTTGAGGAGCTGGAACAGAAGCTAGAAGGAGTTCAGAGGAATAAAGTGGATATTTATTGAATTGCCTTCAAAGGCCACACCCTGGCAGTGCCCAGATGGCTCCAAGATGGAAGCAAAAGAGGGCTTGGTCATGAGATCTCACATTTTTATAAGTTTTAATCCATTTACATATTGGAGTTAATTGCCCAATTAATAGCTTCAAATGATGAAGTTCCATCCTCCTTGCTTGCTTGCCCACCCTCCTCTTCTCACATTGTTTAAGCTTTGGGCCTGAATTTTGAAGAGTTTGTCCTTGAGTCTCCAGCTGGAATAGGATTGTTTTTCCTTTACCATCTTGTGAAAAGATCCTAGGAACACTTAATATAAACTATAAACTAGCTTAATACAAAGCTGGAAGCTGCACACCAAACCAGAAGAGAAAAACTTCAAGCCCAAAGTATCAGTGTCAGAGAGGGCTGGCGAGTGTGCGCCGCGCGCGGCCGCTCTGCCCCGCTCCATTATTCACGCTTCCTTGGGTCAGGTAGGCTTCCCAGCAGCTCCCTGCTAAGCCTGGGAATGCAGGACACTGAGCCCTATTCAGGGCCCTCTGCCATGGACCCAGCTTTTATTGCTTTTATGGGGTTTTATTAGCGCCAAATCCCAGGCTCCACCCAGTTTGTAGGCGCTGTGCTCATTCTTTGGAAGCGGGAGAGGTTATCACCTACCTTAATCCCTGCGGCGGGGTGGATTAAGGACACCAATGTGCCTCAGGATTCTCAAAGAGGATCCTGGAAACTTCTTGTTTCTTCTTTTTTGCTGTCTTTACTAAACTCTATTGGGCCTCAGGAAGGATTTGCATCTGAAATGGGCGACCTGGAGCTTTTCTCAATGAAGACATCAGATCAAAGTTCAGTTAGTCAAGGCCTTTCTAAAACATTAAGGGGGCTTGGAAGTACACAATAAAAAGATGAGCTCTGGCAGAGATTGCAGTAAAAACATTCTGATCTGTAATCCGGATAAAGAATAGATTATAGGCCAAAGAACAGCCCCTGTTTAAATTGCTTTCAGAATCCTTGTTTTGAATAAAGTTACATTTTACAAGAAAAACATTTAAATTTTGATGGAATGTTGTGTCTTATTCAACAGCCTGCTTTAAAAATCAGATACCAAGAAATAAATTGGTGCATTGATTTAGAGAATGTGCTTTTCTATATATATTTTTATATATCAAATGACTAGATATTCATAAGCAATTGCATGGGGTTTTATTTTTTTTTTTAACTAATTATTTCTTTTAACTAAAAGTTTGGGTTTCATTGGTTATTCTGGGAAAAGTATTGCATTATTGTTACTGTTGATCTTCCCTGATAACTGACCAGGCCTAACATCTGTTAGTCAAATAATTTTGAAATATTTACCCTAAATCAAATCATTCTAACTAATCTTAACAGTTTAATACATTTTTGGTGAAGTACTATCTACTTGAATATTTCATGGTATAACAGTCTGGAGGAGGGTTCCCTAAACCAGGACGGGGGGGTTAACTTGACGTGTATAATTCAAATAATGTTGCAGGTTCTGTTCTGAATTCCATTAATATGGACCAAACAGATGCATTTATTTCCTCTATTTAATAGCACAGCATGTTCAAAATGTGTAATTCCTGCACAGGTATACATTAAATTTGGTTTATGGTGTTTCATATACCAAACTTAAGATCTGAAGAAAATGTATCTTCATTATAACAAATCATAGTTATTGCATGTAATAACTCAGCCTACTGTTTATTTGATTTTCAAGGAACTGAAAATAATTTTAAACTATTTTTTATTTTTTTATTAAAATCACTTATATGAAGATGCAATGGTTGGTTTTTTCACTGATCATAAATAAAGAGAAAAATTTTCCAAGTCAGCTGAAAACATTTCTGTAGCACCCATAAAATTGTCAGAGACTGAAAAATCAAAGAGGCTGAATACATGATGTTCTGCTGATTTCATAGATCTGGCTTCTGCAAATTTGTGATCATCTGTCTAGAACATGAGCAAAAAATACATTCTTTTAATTATCTGGCTTCACTTTGGTGCTGCAGCTTGGAATAGTAGAGGTTGAACTCTGTGTGAAAGATTCATATTCAAGTATGACAATGGGGGAATGAAAACTTACTACTAATTATTATAATGTTTTTCTACTTTAAGCTTTTATTTAGACTGAATGGGAAAAAACCAGAGGTTTGAAGTGCATTGCTAGTTAATTACTTTCCTTTGACAGATAATAGTTTAAGATTGTAATCAGTACTGTTGTTTCCACAGACCAGCCCAACAACATATACAAAGTTTGGCCATTATTATGACGTTTCTAAAAAAATGTCTCCAGAACTGTGTCAGTCTGTGAAACTGCACAGTTTTTACCTCCATGAAGAATTGCCTTTTGAGCCTAAAATGAAAACATGGTAAGTTTTGTCACCACGGTTCTGTTGTGTGTTAAGATTTTGCATGCATATTGGCAGGAAATGATAATTGGGTCTAAAATAAATGATTTTGGGTCTAAAATAAATGATTTTGGGTCTAGAATAAATGATTTTGGGTCTGCACTTGCTGTGGTGATGGAGGGGGTGTCACGAGCAGTTTGGCCATGGGTGCCACTCAGTGCCACCCACCTGGAGTGGCACAGGGACAGCTCAGAGCTCTGCTCCCACCTGGGGGGAGTGTTGGAGTTCTGGATGCTGAGAATTTCAGGGTTTCTGTGCTGACAGGCACTGACCCCCAAGAGAACACTGCATTTGACCTGAGGCTGTGGAGAAGGCTTCCAAAATGGAATGACAGAACTGGGATTGTGGGTGTGGAGTTTGAATAGAATGTGTAATATCACACGGTGGAAAACGTAGAGTTTAGGATTTTAGAATATAGTAATACATGTAAAGCAAGATGGAGGTTTTAGGGTGGAGGCTGGTCCTTCTTCTTCACCTTCTTCTCCTTGGGTTTGGGTGGTTTTGTGTATTTGGACAGGAAACTCCACATTGTGGACTTCAAGTGATTTGTTATTGGGTTAAAAGTGAAAATAATTTAGGTGTCATTTCTTAATTGGACAGTTTAGCCTTAAAAGGCCTTATAACAAAAGATAGTTAGCCATTTTGTGCCTTGTTAGTGAAGAACTGCAGAACTCACTGCCTGTGAGACTGTAACAGAGATGAGAAATAATAAACACCTGAGTCTGAACATGAGCTGTCCTCTCAAGTGCCTTCAATCCCAATCCAGCCAGAGGATGAGGAAGCTGAAAGCTGGCAGGGGAGGGAGCAGGTTGGCAGTGACAATTAAGGCAGACATTACTAGGACAGCCTGGCTGCATGTGAACCCAGTCCTGCTGACAGCCCAGTGTGGGGACTGGGAGAGCTGTTCCTGTCTGGCTGGAACCCTCCCTGAGCAGCGTGCCCCAGCAGCTCAGAGATGGGCTTGTCAGGTGGCTATCAGCCTTAAAAGGATCTCTGCAGTTTGCAGGGCTTAGGAGACAGGCCATCCTTGACCTACATAGCTCAGAGTGCTAGATCAGATTACTTGATGATGTGCTTTTGCTTCTTACATCCTACAGCTTCACCTAAGGAAAATGCAATATGCTGTGAATAAAATTACAATCACTAATTACATCTTGCAAAACATTTCCTATTCAAGCTCTCCTTGGAATGAATAACTCATTATGTTTATGGCTGTCAGTAGGGAATTAAGGAAGACTGAGAGAAAATGAGTGACAGTAGCAAAGACTCCTCTTAGCCTGTAGACACACACATCCATTGTGTCTTTCTTGGAGACACTTCAAGTCAAGTCAAACATCAAGGCTGGGCCAGCAATTTCTTTGTCCAGCCCAGTCCCTGAATTTATATAATAGTGTAATTTATATAATTCATATGAAACCTAGCTTTATAGATCCCAGTGTATAGGGCCAGCTCCTGGAGGCAGTGTGGGATTGACTGGGATTGATTTCCACTGCAGTGCACTCATATACAACCTCAGATTTATGAAAGAAGTGCAGTATGAGCCACCTTTCTTAGAGCTGTAGCAAAGCAAAAGCCAAGTCTCTTTCTAATTTGTTCTGTGTTACATGATCAAATGTCTCTGCTTTGTGAAGTAAATTCTTGTGATAGTGTAAAAAAACCCCGATTTTAGGTCAAAGCAGGGAACTTCTTTCTATATTAGTATTAGAACCAATTTTGTTTATATGTTAATGTTATAATTTTTAATTTTTAGTAGCAGAGCAATAGAGGATGGACACAAAAAAAATCTGACAGGTTGCAAGTGTTGTTACAGTTACTGAGCAATTTAACTCCCTTTCTCTTCTCTAGCTAATGAGAATGTTGTGACTCATCCACTAACTATATGGCTGTCAAGTATTAGTTCATTTTACATTAAAATCAAATTAACTCATCAGGAATGGACTTTATGCATTTGATTTTATAAACCCTGTTTAATGCTGATATTGTGCTTGTGTGCCAGCCTGATAAAAATGCATCTTTCTTAACCATGGGAGTTCTACTCTTTTTTTCTTTAGTTTAAATCTAACAGAAAGATTGGATTTGTGTAATTTTCTTGACAAATTAGTAGAGCACAGGGTGATGAGGTGAGGAAGATGAACAGATAAAGGTGGCCTTTGGAAGGCTTATCTCCTTTTCTTCTCCCTGCCACTTCAACATGGGTCTCCTTCAAGAAGCCCCTCCCAAGGAAATGAAGGAATTGTGGTGTTGGGAGTAAAGGCAGGTACCAAAGTAACAGCCAGCCACCATTCCAAACATTGTCATGCAGTCTAAAAACTACATGATATATGACAGGGAGGAACAGAGACCACACTGGGAATACCAAACTCTTGGAAATCTGTGGGGGATGTAGAGTTGTGTAAGTCTCTTTCTTTACAGTAGCTCATTTGTCTTCTAACTTTGATTATTGACCACAAACACAGTAGGTTTTCGATTCTCTATTTTAAAAAGGTGGTACTAGGTTAGTGTTAAGAGAAGGTGGGAAGGAAGAATTTTTCAAAATTACAGTCCCTGATATTAGGCTTAAAAAGGAGAATGGAAGTTCTTGGAAAAATGGAAGCAGAGTTAAAAGCTGACATGCAGAGGATGCAACTCTCTCTTCTGCAGTCATGGGCTGCAGTAAATGTGGTAGAAATACAGGCAGGAAATGTGGAGATGTTTTTCTAATGATTTGCACAAGAAGTTGCCTTGCAGACAGGAGTATTGTAGAATCTCCATCACTGAAAATTTCTGAGGACAAGCTAGGTAAACATCTGTCAGACTAACTGGGGTCCTTTTCATCCCTGTGTTTGTGATTCTTTAATTCACATTAGTCATGATGTGATTAAATGAAATTAAATCCAAAAAAGAAATCCATTTTATTTCACCTGTTCCTCAGTGAGTGAACTGTCTCTGTAATTATAGCTAATGTATTTTTTTTAGATAATTTCAGCATTTCCCTTGCAGGATCAGAGATGAAGGGAATTTATATAGGCCAGAAACTCTTGGCCCTTTTGAGAAATCATGTATATTTATATATAATGTCCCTCTCTGGCTATCCACACAAGCAGTTGGTTTCTTTATGGACTTGGAAAGAAAGGTGATTTTTTTTTTTTTTTTGCCTAATTAGATTAAGACTGATCTTTTCTTTGCATTTAAAAATGAGTTTTGGAGGTTTTCAACATCATTTGGATGGATCAGTCTTCCTTTTGTTTCCTGTGTTTTCACGTGTGTGTGTACCTGGTTTTTGATAGAGGCAGGGGCAAAGTGTTACCCTATAAACTGGCACCTGGCAGACAGTGCAGGTATAACACTCAATAGCCATGTTTGCTCTCCTTCCTGCAGTCCTGGGACCTGATGGCTGAATTAGACCACAGGGTTCCCTTGGGATAATCACTCAAGGTGGACAGAAATTCATTTCCCCATGCTAAAAATTAACTGAAGCCAGTGCTGCTAAAGGAAGCAGTAAATGGGCCTGGGTGTTGGGTGGCAGAAGAAGACATAAACCCTCCCTGTCTTATCTCACTTTTATGCTGGGGAAGGGCAGTTGTGTGCTGGTTTACAGGGATGTGTTGCTGACAGGAGCTGCTGTGCAGTGGTTGTTGCCAGGATATTCTGTGTCCTGGTTGCTGCATTGCTGGAGATGGTGCCCAGCAGGAAGCAGGAATATCCTCTCTGGTGGTCCTTATTTTCCATCTCTGCTCTCAGCCTCCTTCTTCAGGGCAATTACCAAACAAGAAGGTTTGGTAATCAAAAGACCCAGAATAATTAAGCTGTAGTTTCTCAGTAGCACTTGTAACTCTTACCTTGAGAAAGTACGTGCATTTGAAAAAAGAATTAATTTATCTAGAGATTGGATTTACCAATAAATTTAGATAAAACGGGTCTGACTGTCTTGCCTAATGGAGTCTCCTTTTCCATAACAAGGCTATTTGTCATGCCCTTGATAACCTCACCTTTGTTAAGTGCTTGGAAACTATCAGCAGAGAAGTCAGAGCCTTTGTTGTAACCAGGATACCTTCTTGCCAACTCCTGCTTTACCCATTACTAAAGTGGTAAACAAAAAAAAGAGTTAAGGAGGAATTGTTTAAACTCATTATCAACATCAAATTGTGTTTAGCAACAAAACCAAAAAAAGACTAGAAATTGGAAAATAAGAAATATCTTATTTCCTTCCTTAAATATTGTGACAAACATTGCCAGAAGGGTAATGCAACTTGCTTTTATAAACAGTGCTTCTACAATATCTTTCATGTTCTTATTTACATAAGATGGGTCAAATTCAAGGAAACCATTAATATTTTAGAAAGAGATAGAAAAGCACCTGTTTTGACATTTTTAAAAAATCTACACATACTACATGATTTTTTAAAATTCTTTCTTTGCTGCAAATCTCTTTCTGGTAGATTAATTGAAGATCTATTTTATTTCTTTGTTTTAGTTTTGAGACCCTTTAATGCTGCAAGTGCTTTGGTTATTTTATTATATTTGGTTATCTTTTATCCACTAGCTTTTAAAAACAAGTTAGGAATGAATCAGAAATCAGCAAATATTTTGATTGCAGTACATTCTCTAGCAAAATAAAATAATATCTGTTGTGATAATGCAAAAACACAGAGAGAGAGAATTTTGGCTGCTGTGGGGGGGCTAAAGTTCACCCTGTGAACTGGACAGCTGCCACACAGTGTAGGCAGAACATTTAATAGCCATTGCTTTTGCAACTGAGCACTGGGAAAGTAATGGACTTGAGAAGTTCAACTTGCTTTTTTTTGTATAGCAAGGCAGACTTTATGCATGACATATCAGGTTGAGATCATACACTGCCAGTTAATTTTCAGGTCTGAATTTCATAAAGGGTATTAAATTATTAAAGTGCATCAGTTTAGCCAGTAGCTTTCTTGGGTATTAAATCTGATACAAACCCAGAGTTTGATTTGGAAGCTCTCCTTTGTGTTCCTATCAGAGAAAGGTCATCTCTTAATGTTTTTTGATATTGATTGTTTCAAAACTCACATTTCTTAGGACCACATTACTTTTTTGATTGTAGATGTTTATAACTCAAGTATATTTGAGGGTTGGGGTTGTATGGATACTGTTTCCTTAAAGAAAGCACACATTTTTGAGTTGAAGCAATGGTGCAAAAGATGGATCATTGCAATTCTTACATGCTTCTCAGAAAAGTTGAATTCTCTCCTGTGCCAAGGGATGAAAGCGAGTTTATTTGGGTTTATTCATCAGTAAAATGAATTTGGATAACAGTCTAGGCTCTTAGTAAAGTAATGGGAATAATATTAATAATAATATTTCATTAATATTTGGGCCAGGTGGTCTCTCAAGGTGCCTTCCAGCCTGAGCTGTTACCAGACACATAAATTATGGAGCCAACAAGAATATTTTTAAAGGCAAAATTTTCAAAATAACCTGATGTATATCCAAAGAAATACAGCAAGAGGTTTGAATCCTTGACCCTTGATGAGACTGGAAGAAAATGTCAAAGACAGAATAGATAGAAGGGCTTAAGTTGCAATGGGAAACCTGAATCAGCCCAGATACTCAACCCTGTGTGGTCCATGGGATTTAAGAAAAAAATTTCTCTTTTAGAAGTGAGCACCTGAATTGTTCTTTGAAAGTAAAGAGCTTCTAAGTATGACAAGATGATTTGCTGAACCTTCATTTTGTGTTAAGTCTGCTTAAATCCATTTTTAGCCATTGGTTTGCTTTTGTTTATTTTTCTGAATGTTATATTTTCTAAACAATACATAGAGTAAATGCTACCTCGCAATTTTGCTGTCATGCAAATAAAGCTGTGAAAATACATGAAGATTTTCATAGAAAGTCAACTCTGTTCATCAGGGCATTGATTAGGTATACTTGGAATCACAACTGGGTAGATCTCTGTCAGTTACAGAAGATTAGTACTGGGCTGGAATGGCTTCAACTTTAATTGATACATTAAATCATTAATCTTCTAGATGTAAGTGAGCCTGACATAATTAAGTTATCTTAATCCCTAGAGATTTTAGCTTTCACTAAATGTCTGAGCCCTGAACTAGTTAATGTGAAGCAATCACAACTGCTTATAATGTCAACTTTATTCAAAGAGGTTTTGGGTTTTTTTTTTCCTTCTCTGACACCTCTTTTCCAGGTGACACTTGCACTGAGAGCTGCATCTATTCATATTTATTTTTTATACAGCTGTTAGAGACTTATAGGAGAATATTGCAATTGTAACTAAAATATTTCTGCTTCCCAACAGGAATATGAACAGTGCTTATGCAAGGCTGCTTCAGTCCATTCAGAGGATCATTTCCCAGGAGGGCTTTGATGGCTCTGATCCCCAGGTACTGAACACCCTCACACTCCTCTTTAATCCTGTAACTATTCTTTTCTTGCACAAGGTCTTGGACAAATTATTGAGGAACAAATTGTTTCTAAACATTGGTAAAGTAAACAAGCAAAGTAAATAGTGTTGTTCATGTTTTAAGGGGTTTTTTTTTGAGTTTTTACCTGTTACAGATATGCAGAGAAAGAAATGTAAGGCAGCATTAGTAAAATGCCTTTTTTGTTCAATTAGTTAATAAAAGAATGGCCAAATATAATGGAAAGAAGCAAAGCACATTTTCATCTACAATATTTGTTTTTCAAATTATAGCTTTAGCATACTCTGCTCAAGATTCTTGAGGTTAAACATTTACCCCTTAAAGTTCAGGTTTTTTTAATTGTTGCTTTAACTGGTGTGAATTTTTTACTTGATTAAATGGTAGCATCTTTATGTGGTGAGCATTGAAAGAGAAATTAAGAAATAAGAATGCTATTTCAATTTATGAATCAGCTTATCAGCCTTCAAAAAATCTCTGTACTCTTCATAGTGTATAAAATGTGGGAATCAAAAACACTTTAAGTGTAACAACATAGGCTAGAAGACCTTTTCTAATTTGAGAAGTGACCTATAAGTTATTCTCTGTCATATTCAGCAACATGGCAGTCCTTTGGAGCTGATGGAAATAATATAATAAATTGGATAGATTGATGCTCAATTGAAAGGTAATTATTGCTGTACCATTGAAATGCCACTGCAGTAGAAGCCAATTAACATAGACTCTGGAGAGCCTGAAATTATTTAATTGAAATTCAATATCTTAGGAATATTAGGGTTTTTTTCCTGTTGCTTAAGTGCACATCAGGACCTGCCTGAATGGCTGGAATAGCTTGGGAATGATTTTTGCAGGGAGACGATGCAGGAGAGGCTGTTTTCCTGCCTGCCAGTGGGGTTTGGGAGCGTTACCTGCACCGAGCCCTCGTGTGTAAATGTCGCTGCTTGTGCTCAGCCGAGATGTCTGGGAGGGTTTTGCCCTCCCCTCGGTGGCAGTGCCAGCCTGGAGAAGGCCATTGGTCCCTGCCAGGCCCCTCTCCCCACGGTAGCCATGGCAACAGGGATGTGTGTCATCCTCCCGTGCTGCACGGGGATGCTCCTCCTGCCTCAGAGCCCTGGGTGACACAAACACCCTGCCAGCCCCCAGCCAGCCTCCTGCCCAAGACATCAGCCTCTTATTGCTTAGTTTTCTTTATACATGCACTTAGAGAAAAGAAAATGAAGGTTTCTCAGAGCCAGCACTTGGGTGGTTTTTTTGCTTGCAAAAATTCAACATCACCGATCATTATTTTCTCTGTTTTTTGTCAATTGTTTCAAAATGACTTACTAGTGTCAATAAAACAAAACCTGAACTTTAACTGGGATGAATCTAACAGTGTATGTTTGCTCAATAATACATATAAATTTCAAAGGTGAAACTTTAAAAGTTATTTTTCAGGCCAGTTTATTGATCTAGAAAGCCATTAGCACTATGTAGTTCTTTCTGTTTCAAGGGAGGCAAGGCAAACAATTTCCTGGAGTGGTTTCTGTTATTTTCTTTTAATATTCCACTTTCTCCTTGCATCTTTCTTTGTACAGTCAAATTTTGTACATTTAGAAGCCTTGTATAATACACACTTCTTAAAAATGTGGCCAGACTTGAATGTAGCAGTGGCCTGGAACACACCTTGGATCTTTTATTTGCCAAATCTCTGAGCAATTCCTTGCTATTTCATTTCATTTCATTTACTGAGCTCTCTAAAGTGCTTTGTAAGTAGGCAGGTGTGAAGAAAGATTGTAGAGTAAGGAGCAGCCTGTATCTTTCTGGACCTGTGTATAATTGCCATATATAATCATAAAAGCTTCTGAGAAGTTTGTGCCTGTACTCCCACCCTCAAATAATCCTGTACTTGACTGGCAAAACTTTCAGATATTTTTTGGCTGCTTTCACATCAATTTGCCAATGATGCTTAGATTTACTCCTTTATTTGAAGAAAACTGAGCAGGATGTGACTCATCCCAGCGGAGAGATGGTTTGACACAACTGGGAAAATAAGTGAAAACCACCATTAGAGGTTTGGTAGCCTTTGATAAAATACTCAGGCATCTCTAGGACCTAGTACACTCAGTTAACATTAGTTAATAGTTCATAATATTTAATAATTAGTTAATATTTGGAACATCAGTTTGAATTACCTAGAAGCTACAAATGCAAGCATCAGGTTTACAGCCTTTCTAAAGCCTCCCACTTACTCTGCTATTGATCCTTAAGTGGGAATCCTTTACAAGTTGATCATGGTATTAAGTTATATGGAATTGCACCTCTTTGTTTCAGAGTGTTTTGGGGTTTTCATGCTTGACACCAGAGGTTTAATAGGCAACTATTTCCTAACATTAATTTTGTGTACTTTGGAGGCTTTCAGGGTAATAGTTGGGGGGGATTTTTTTTTTGTTGTTGTTGGCATGGAGTTGGGTTTTCTGAATTCTTCATAATCAGAATTTCTGCTGCCAAATCAAACACTGTTACAAGAATTACATTTTTTTTTAAATTACAAAATAAATCCAAACTTCCAGGCTAATGTGAATATTAAAGATCTAGTGGTGCATTTTAAAAAATGTTACCCTACTTTTTACAGCAGGCTGTTTGTGGGAGAATATTAGACTTACACTTTTCTTATATTTCAGTTTTGGCATAATAAACTAAAATAGAAATAAATTATATATATTATGTATATTAGTATGTATCTTTTTGTATAACAAATTATGCTGATAGAAGTTCTATTACTGGCCAAATAAATACATCTGATATTATCAGGTGTCTGAATAGCTTTATCTTTTACTGCTCTTATGATTTGATGTTGTGAAATAAGCATCTGTCATCCTCTCTCCATTAAGAGAACAGTTCTTTCCTCTGTATGTTGTTCTTACAGATGTTCCTCATAAGAAAAAAATATTTTTCTCATTTAAAAAGCTTCTGTAAGTTTTATCTATGTTTGTATTGAAATTTTGAAATACTTTAATGCTTCCTCTACCTGGTTAATGTCCATGATATCTGGATAAAATAATTTTCTTAAATGCCTGGTTGTTTTTTTTCCTGTTGCTTAAGTGCATATCAAGAAGTGCCTGAATCTGCTCTGATCAGAAGTAATTAAATAATATTAGACCAAAACTTCTCTTTTTTGCTATTCTTTTTAAAACTGAACACCTAATCTGAGAGGAGACCATACAGAGAAGTGTTGTCTTATCCTGTCCTGTTGTCCTGATCTTCATACAGTGGTGTAAAAAGTTCACTTTTTGTAATTAAATCTTAAAAGCTGCAAAGCCTGAGACTAAAGAAGCCAGAGTTGAAGCACAGATTGCTTCCCCAGGGACTGGGAGTGAGTTGGCAGATCAGCTCCCTGGGTGAGACACACAAGTGGATAAAAGCAGAGCCATGTGGGGCTGACTGTGTCTCACAGGCTCTGCCTACCCAACATGGGTGGGGAAGCTTTGGGAAGAGCAGCCTCTTGTCTTGCCCAAACCTTTCCTCTGGATTTCCAGAGCAGCTGTGCCATGGTTTGTGCTTGAGAGTTGCTGTTTATTCTAGCTGTTGGAAATTAATAGCTACTGATGCCTTGTGCAGGCTGCCCTAGAGCAGAGGCTGGGCAGAGCTAAAGAATCAAGCAGGGATTGATTCAAAGCATCTCCTCCATGGATCCACCTTGGGCAGCACCAGAGCCCAGCCAGGCCTGCACCCAAGATGAACCAAAATGGCCCCAAAATGCACCAGCGCTCCCGGGCTCTCTCCCTTGGATCAGTTCTGCTCCATTTGCATCTTGCAGTTCATTGTCCCATTCCAGCTTTAGCCCCTGCAGTCCCACCCTGCTTGTTTTTCTCTCTGCAGCCCACGGGGTTTGTGCTCTTGGGGCTGAGATTGGGATCATTTGTCCTTGGTGCCCAGCTGGAGCAGGAATTGTTTTGTCTCCCTGCTCTGTGCACAGAGCTCACCATCCCTGAATGTGAAACTCAGACCCACACACTAAAGCAGCACAGAATGGGAAAAATAGAAAAGCTAAACCTGAGGCATCAGTGCAGTTTATCAAAACACTTTTCTCTAGTGAGAAGTACCTGCAAGCTTTTACTTATCAAAACTAATATTTATACATATACGTGTGTGTGTGTGTGTGTGTGTGTGTGTGTGTGTGTGTTTAATTAAAGAAAGCTGGTCTTCAAGTATGAACCCTGAACTCTAGAAATGTTTCTTTCTTACCTTGTGCAGGAAGTCTTTCAATGAGGAAGTTCCTTGTCTTTCAGCCATTGATAGAAAATATATCTAAAATCCTTTCCAAAGACCACCAGGAAGGGTCACATCAAACAAGCAGAAATGACAGTTGTCATCATGAGAGAGAACATTTTATTTTGCATAAACAAATTAAAACTTTGACTGCATCATCTGTCCCTTCAGAAATGGAGCTTTATCTTGGCCACTGCCTCTAAAGCAGGGCAGAAACTCTCATGTCAAGGTGGGGTCCTTAAGGGACCATCTGTCCCCATCACACACTGTGTTTCCACAGCTGTGGCTACAACTTAGTAGGAAGAAAAAAGGGACATAAATGATACTTGGAGACTTCTAAGGTAGTGGCAGGTCCCTGTGTTGGTGAGCAAAGCACTGGCCTTGTTCTCTCAGAAGGAGCAGAAAAAGTGGATCTGAAGCAGACCATGCAACAGTCAGGCTATGAAAGTGACACAGCAGAAAGGTGAAAATAGAGGGAGAAGTTGTGTTTGATTACTCCAGCAGGCTGCCTTAGAACTGGGAGCAAATACTCTTCTACATGATTTTTAAGATAGTGATGGAGGGTAGAAAGGATGTAAAATGCCCTAGTGTTACTAGGTTTTATTCCAGAATATACTTATATTTAGCTGGTTAAAAAATACAAATTAGTAGTTCTCAGTATTTCCATGTGTCTATTAGATTATCCATGGTACCTAAGCAGTGAAAAAAAATCCCATTCCATTTGCAATTTTTCTAAGATTGACAGAGATTACTGTGATGACATAAAACAGTTATTATGGACATGCATTCTAGAAATTGTATTCCTCCTAGCGTTTAAAAAATAACAACTTTTTTATTTTTTTATATTTTTTTTCCCAAACAGAAAAAACAAAGGAATGTTTTGAGGATAGGCATTCAGAGCCTGGGTTCCATCTTGTGGGGTGATGATGTTTGTTGCAGTGATGCTCCCGAGGATCCTCAGAGCCTGACCAAATTCCTGTATGTCCTGCGTGGCCTGCTCAGGAAATCCCTGTCTGCCTGCATCATCACAGTGCCTGCTCACCTCATCCAGGTAGGAATGCTGCTTGTTCTGGCTTCCAGAGCTGCCACAGCACTCAGCAAAACTTTAAAGCCTATGGTAAAGAAAAAAAAAAAAAAAAAGGCAGTTCTGGGCATTTTTAATGTCTTTTTGTTCAAAGTGTGAACTTAAAATGTGACTGTATCTTATGTTTTATGCTTTTGTGGGAGAGTCCTGCTGCAAAATCTACAAAGAGCTAAGTATGAAATTATTTTTTTTAATTGTCCACTAAAGCACACAGGTTTTGGGGGTTTTATTGATGGAACTTCGAGGGCAAGCAGTGCATGAAGGAAAAAGAAAATTCTCTTTTCTCAAGCACAAAAATAGGAATACGTTATTCTGGAAGAGGGTTTCAAGAAAATGACACAAAAAAGTTGCCCAATTATGAATTTTAGGGACAGTTATGCCGAATGTTGGTCTTATTCCTTTTTTTAAAAATTGTCAAAATTTCAAAAACTGTAAAAATGCAAGTATCTATAGTAATATCTTTTTCAGTCATTTTTACAACATGTTTATGTACTTTCAAAAGTGCTTTCAGAATGCTTTATGGAGTATCAATATAAGGCTTTTTAGTTCTCTGTCTTTCTCTAAAATGCTCATTATAGTGATATCTCATCTTGTTTTTAAGGGTATAGATTTGCTCTATAATTCTGATATCCTCTTATACTGGGACTAGGAGCAAACCAGTTATGGCACAAGTCATTTTCCCAACTGCAAAATCAGAAGCAATTAACAGCATTGTTCCTGATAGTATACAGAGACTTCAATATATCTTCTGAAAATAAACTTTTTTAGAAAAAGGAAAAATGTAGGTAGTCTTTTGTTCTGTAAGTGTAACTTACAAAAGCAAAAATATTATTATTCACAATGAGCAGAAAGCCTATAATTTTGTATATTTGATTTGATCATAGTAAAAAAGTACTGGATAAAACCTCATATTATGCAAAACATTTTCATAGTTAGGTGAGTTTATCAATAGATGAAATCCTGGCTTAGGTAGGTACATGACTCACACCTACAGCATTTTGTTAAAGGTCTTTGAATACCAGCAAATGTTATTTATTTAAATACCAATGCAATTAATCCTTCAAAAATAAAGGAGGTTGATTTTCTGGTTTTATATTGCAGTCAAAATTGTGTGAATATTTCTCTTACAGTACATACCTCTACCTCCTTACTTAATATTTTTAAATATTAGGTTGCTGTCTGCCTTCAGAAAGTGAGGCAGTTAAATTTAATGCAAGAAATAGAATTTGTGAATGTAAAAACTATGATCCTACTTCTTAGACACTGGAATTGCCTGTCCATAATTGGGATATATTTCCATCATGGTCTTCTTTATATACCATGCCAATAAAAAGAATGTTTATATTTTAAAGAAGCACAGAAGTGTCTCTAAGACAGAAACTAAAGGTTGCTTCAAACTTACTCAAGAAGGTGATTATATCGATGAAATTTCTAGGGCAAACAGTGCAGGAAGAAAAAAGAAAATGTATAAATTTCAGGGAGTTAGAATTGAAATTCTACCTCATTTTTTAAATAACTGAGTTTTTAATTTTAACAGTAAGTGCTGGGAAATCCTGAATTTAAAAAAAAATAAATGTACAGAACGTGCAGAATCTTTGCCTAGCTGTCTCAAACAACCAGAAGCATTAATTTAATTTTTTTTTTTGAGACTTTGGAAGTGGGTGTACCCTTTAAGCAGCGTGCTGTGGAGAGAGCTGTCGTTAGGAGGAGCAGAGCTGCTGGGGGTCCCTGGCAGCCCAGAGGAGTGGGTTCCCAGAGCCCTGCTGTGTGCTTGCTGGCCTCTCCCAGCAGCCTGTCAGGGAGCCCCTGGGAGCGTGTGTGCAGCCTCCCTGGCACCGATAATTGGGGATGCTGCCCAGCGCAGCCCAACATGTGCGGGGCTGCCTGGTGATCACAGCAGCTGCTCTCCTTCCCTCTGCACGGCTCCTCTCCTCGCTGCTGCGCTCACACAGTCAGGAAAACACCTCCTCTCCCCAGCACACGGAGACACAGGGAGCTTTTTCCTTTATTTCCAAGTGTATTTATGTTTAATTCCGTCAGCCAGCTCTAGCACGTGCTTTATCTGTCAAATATTCGAGTCAGTGCACTGAACACACAGAGAATTCACACTGTTTTCCTGAAGATGTAGTAAATTCCCCATTTTTTTTCCCCTGAACTACTCTAGTACTACTCTAATAGTTCCTCTGCTTCCCAGGTTGTAGTTCAGCCCCTAACTAAATTAACTGGGTGGCCTCCACGTAAATTCTTCACGCGTGTAATTTTCATGAAGGACATGTAAGTTCAAAATCACATTTAATCAAAGTTTTGTTGGGGTGACAGATACAAAAAATTAGCTTTGTCTTTACCTGCTTTGTCATGAAAAAGTACATTTTTGGTAGTGACATAACTTATCTTGTCTCTGTCAATCTCCAGTACTAGTTACTCCAGTGAAGAAGAAATAAAACAATTGGTGGTACTGATTTTTGACAGGGGCAAATTATTTTCAGCCCAGACTAATTCTGGTTTTTATATGAAGTATATGAAAAATGCATATATTTTTTTAAATTGTTTTTTTTTCCTGTATTTTGCCAAATACTTTGCATGTTGTACTGTGACAGGGAGTTCACAAATTGACTCTGCCTGGTTTCTTTCTTTTTCAGAAAGTTTAATTTTGCCTTTACCTTTCATGCTTTCTCCATTTTTTTTTTTTTTGGCTGGTGAGGCATTAAAATGATCCTCCTATTTAATATTTTCTGTATTCTGGTTTGCAGTTTTTCTCATGCTGTCTTCTTAATATGTTTCTAAACAGTCGCTTACCTTTTTAGATAAACAGTATTGCTATTATTGTTGGTTCACTTTCCCTAAATTCTCATTTCTGGTTTGACTCTTCAGTGATTGCAGAACATTAAATAGTGATTTTGTTCTTGATGTTTTTCCCTCTGTGATACAAATGCACCAAAGTGGCTCTTACATTATTCCAGCAATCCATTGTCTTAGATTTAATAACTTGGAATTGCATTTATCCAAAGATAATGCTCATTAATCCAGCCCGATGGGACAATTCATGGTGTCCTGTAAGGCTGTATTTTGCTAAAAAACACAAGTTTACAAAGAAAGTCTGTTTGTGTGTGGAGTTTTTCCAAAGTAACTGGAAAAAAATTGTAGTCCACTAAAGCACACAGGTTTTGGGGGTTTTATTGATGGAACTTCTAGGGCAAACAGTGCATGAAGAAAAAAGAAAATTCCCTTTTCTCAACCACAAAAATAGGAATACACTATTCTGGAAGAGGGTTTCAAGAAAATGACATAAAAAACTTATCCAAATATGAATTTTATTCAGGTGATGTGTGACAAGTTTTTACTTGATTGATATTTTCTACCGATTGAACATCCTCTTATCTTACACTGTCTGTCAGGTAATAAATATTGAGCTACTTACAAGTGTGATTAAAATAGTTGATGGAAGGTTATTTTTCAAGTCTTCCTACTGCTTCTTGAAAATGCATTGTGCCTAAGAAATCATATGGTACATTTGAAAAGGGAAAATTACTTCCATTTTTAAAATCTAGCATTGATCAAGGAGGGCAGATTGAAGAGGCATTTCATTTGTTGTTACAATTTCCAAGTTTAAGGAATATTATTAAAACAAGTAAGAATTCTTTTTCTGTGTTTTGCTAATCAGTGCATTTAAATACCTAAATTTAGAAAAAGAATTCTTGTGCAATTGTGTGAATGAATGGGCTTTAATGTCACTGGTCCATAATGGAAAAGTCCTAAATTATAATTTAAAATATTTTCCCGTTGTTTTGTGGTTTTTTTTATTGCTAGAAATCATTGGTAAATCCAAGAACATCTTTCCCTCAAAATACTAAAGAATGTTTTTAATTCTATTCCTGTCCTTCCCAATTTTGTATCTCTTAAGTAGCAATAGATTTTTTTTCAGTAGATTTTTATATTCAGTGGGGAAAGCATAGCACTTGTTAAAGCCATCTTTTATTTTGAACTCAAAGCTGGTATTACTGCTAAGGACTAAAAACCATATTAGTCAGCATGTACCAAGGGAAATTAATTGACTAATGAAAAGTCAGTCTGAATAACTCTTCTTACAGAGCCTGTCCTCAGAGTCTGCAGTTCTGTTTAGCAAGGTATTTTCATTATTTCATCCAGTAGGTTAAAAAATTAATTTCCTACAATATTAATGTTTTGAATTCACCCAAGTGCAGAAGTTACTGATGGTTTCAGTGTAGAAAAATTCAGAAACAAACCTTTTCACATCCCAAGCCTTTTGTGTTCACACTGAGTGATTTAGCAGCTAAACTCCAAGTCAAGAATCCATTGCTAATATAGGATTATAAGATGTGAACTCCTATAGCTGGTGAATTTCTCACAGTTTGAAATCCTTATTCCTATGACAAGAACTAAGAGTGATTGCCTACCTTAGAGCTCTCATTCCTGAGAGTTCACTGGTGTAAAGTGCTGAATAACCTCCAAGTGTATTTGATGAGGTAGCTGCACAAAGATTTGTATTGAGATTCAGCATCATGTGGGTTTTATATCATAATTAAGGAAGCTTTCAAATTTTGCTGCAAAATAGAAGCCATAAAGATGAAATGGTCTTAATATTTTTCTGGATTTTTTTTTAACTTGCTTTTTAATGCTGCATGTTGTTTTTTGTTGTATGTGAGACATAGATTTTAACAGCAGTAGAAATAGGTATCAAGAGTTGTAAGTTTATGACAGGTATTTTGGGTTATCCACATGGTTTTAGGTATGAGTATTTTGGTTTTAAACATTCATAAAACCATCTTTAAAATTCTGAGTGAGTAAGAAGCTGAGGGAAGTGCCCTATTCAGAATTTAATTTGGGAAACAGTATTTTTCTTTCATTTCTCTTATTGCTGATGGTATTTGCTTACCATGCTGTAGAAGAAATAAAAGTATTATGTGGTTTGATAGAATCAGATTTTGGTTGCCAACAAGCTGTATTCT